AGTATTAGGTATCCTGCTCTAACAAGAAATTGTGGCTGCTGTATTTCAAACCCCATGCAACAACTAGTTTTCAAATCAAGAACTATGCTCTTATAGGATATTTAGCTATTTCAAACCTCCTAAAAAAGCAGGGCACCTATCCATTTTCTGAAACTACAAATGACAACCAAGAGTTTTTCGATAATATAATGCAGCAAATTGGAAATTTAAACTCATTTTCACGAAGAAAGAGTAATAAATTACTATATTTTTACAAGTAAGCTCTGATCCATTGCTTTTGAGAAATCAAATTGGCGGTCTGCATCTACTACCCAGCTGGTGAACCATGTAGTTGTATAGAAACCTTCTTTGCATATCCCCATATTGTATAGAAATCCTACATCTATATTAGAACAATGAAGAAAGTAACACTTTGAAGAAGGTTCTTCCAAAAACTGGCCATGATTCTTATTTGATGGTCACTAATTTTATCTGAAAAGCAAATGGGCACAACTAGCTGCTGGACGATAATTGACTCCCAAAATAGATATCCTTTTTCTTATATATTGCAGCCAATTGCCGAAAAGAACGGGGTTCCTAAATGAAATATCTTCACAAAATAATGCAAGAAATAAATGATAATAAAAAGAAGAAGGAAAAACCAGCCATGAAATGAAGCAATTCATTCCTATAGGGAACTTAAAATTCTGGTTCATTTCACTTGAACTATGAACTATGCCCATTTCACATTAACTGTGAACTGTGCACAATAAATTATGTATAATTTAATAGTGCTCTAAATGAACATTCAGATATTTCTGCATTACATGTCCATGCATATGCTTATGTATGCAATGATCCTATGATTTCATAGAATGCTAATTCTCTATCTGTGTATCGTTTCACAGGATATATACAACAGATACAAGAACCAGATTGTAAAGGATCAAAGGTATTTGTATACTAGAGAATAGGAGATTACTCAGGCTGCAATTGTCTCCTAGTCCATTATGTTGCTGAGTGTGGCAGCACCTTAAGGTAAAGTTTGCAAGCACAATTTTAATATGAAATAAAGAATGCAGTAAATTACCGAAACCAATAATATTGACAAAGTTATCTTCACATGCATTCCCTAGTTAATTATTGGGTGACAAACTGAATTTGCCAACCTGTGGCAGGACCACATAAATGTTTCTCAATTGCAAGGTAAGAAACACCCCCTAAAGTCTACACATTATTCAAGTCCAAATCATCAACTGCAATAGTTAAGTTAAGTTAGACAGTATTCAATAAATACATCTATACATGTAATGTTAAATATTGTCTGCTTATCATGTTAAATGTGTTAGAAAACCAAATGAGCTCCTATTAAAGATAGCCTTCATTAGTTTAATAGTGATTATGTATGGAACTCAAGGCCCCTGCAAGGTCCCCTGAGCACTGGGCCCTCTAGCACTATTACAACACAATTTGTTTAATGAACTTTCATCTTGCAAGAGCAATTTGAGGGTAGACCAATGCAACCCATGGAAAAAGCATTCTGCCATTACTGACCTGGTTATAGTATAAAAACTCGACATTCCTCTTAACTTGATGGTGAAGCATTTCAATAGATTGCTATGAAAGAAAGGGTCCATAGCTAATGGATTATGGATGATTGCAGTACTTCATGAACCCACATCTTGAAGGGAGCCATGCCTCAGCAGTTGGAGCTCACTACAAAATAAATTCTTTCACCTTTGTATATGATATTCCATCATTTCACAGAGACAATCAGGTATGTTGTCACTTGATGAGTTCTTTTGTGCTTTGAATGGATACAAGTTGTATCATAGCATATTGCCTAAACTTTTCAAGATGAATATTATAGTTTCTACTGTTTCAAGATGAGTTGAATTTGTAAGCTGAGGGAAACCATTATATTCTTACTAAATGTATTTACTTTGCCTTAAGCTTTCTATCATCTTCCCAGTGGCAGCTGACCAAGTCTCGAATGCAAACAAAGTTCTCTTTAGGCATGTTGTTTGATTCGAGGTTTAGAATGGAACTGTCCAATGATGAAATTCGAGACCTGATAATCCTGCTTTAACCCCTAAATCCAAATTTCCTTCCTCACCATGGCAGGGACAAGATGGTGTAAGAGCCAGCTAAATTAGGGTTCTTTTTGGCAGAACATCTTTCTATGAGATGCTTTGGCGATCTTCCCCTGCCATTGCCAGCGAGGTATGGATCTCCCCAGCCCGGCCCAAAACCTAGCTTCTAGATTGGTTGTTGATTAGCAAAAAGGCTCTCATGGTGGACCACATCCAGCGTGGGGGAATACACTTCACTGACATATACAAATGTATCATGTACAAAACAAAACTAGGAATCAATTGGGCTAGTAGGATTTCTATTTGCGCCTGGAGACTAAACTGGTGTTTGAATATTTTTGAGCCCACTAAATCTCTTGAGGTGTCTTCCCAACAAGTATGGCATGAAGCCAATGCTATCATGGATAGCCTCACCAAAGAGGGAGCTTCCCAAACAATCTTGTAACCTTGGTCTAGTGGGCAGTCCCTTTTTGCTTCTTTTTTGTACAATTTTGTCTCTGTTCTTTATTTATTAACTGTTTAAGAGGTCTGGTTTTACACTTGTATAAGTAATCCGAAAGAGTAAATAAAGAAAAAAAGAATTAGTTTCTTTCCTTGTGGAACTTGCATAATATCTACAGTTGACTTTATCATTTGCCTATTGTTCATGAAAATGGGAATGGATTTTGAAATAGTATTAATTTCTGGAATTAAATCTTAGGTTTTGTAAAGAAATATTGATTTTACTTATGAGAATAATCACAAAAAAAAAAAAGCAAAGCAAAGCCTCTAACATAGTTTGGAAGTAAAAAGATGCATATTATCTGTTAGCAAAATAGCTAGAACTCCTTGAATATTTTGAGACCCTCATTTCTAGTAGACAAGAATTAAAATAATTGGTTTGTGTATTTTTTTTATCAGTGGATGGAGGCCAGAATCTATGCAGTGATTATCTATGTGCCCAGTAATTTCCAAGATGCTTTTCTTTTTTTCTCAAAGCAGCTTTTCCTAGATATATTTGATACTCAAGTTATCCTTGATTCCGTTGTAAGTATCTATACTACCAAGACTCTTGTAGCTACTTTGTTAGCTGTCCAACTTCATATACCTCCTTATGAAGAGTATTTTTGTTCACTACATTTTTGATATACCACAACATTTGTGTTGCTTTCTTGTCTTTCAAATTATCTTTATTTGAAAATGATATTCTTTATAAGGATTGTATGCTACAAACATGTCATGTTCATATTTTGCCTCTTTTTTTTCGGCAACCTTAATCAAAGTCCTTTTATGGTGTATCTGCAGTTTTCTATTTAGTACCCTTTCTTGGCTATTTTCAAGGGAGAGAAAAGGCAAAAGGATAAATGAATGAAGACTTATTTAGAGATTGACTAGTTGGGGAGTACTACATGCACTGGTCCAGTGAAAGCAACCGCCAAAATAGGAAGGATAAACAAAATTTCGTACGCCACACTTGTGTTTCCTATGGTTTATGTCTGCTCTTTTTTTTTGCCTTGTAATTGTAGGTGCGATATGTATGTTAGTAAGCATTGTTAAATTAGGAGAGCTGCATATTCTTTTCTTTTTTATTTTATTTTTATTAAAAATAATTGTGGATGTCATGGTGAAGACTCTGTCTTTTTTTTTTTTCTCTCTCTCTCTCTCTCTCATGGTATTTTATTTTTATTAAAAATAATTGTGGATGTCATGGTGAAGACTCTCTCTTTCTTCTCTCTCTCTCTCTCTCTCTCTCTCTCTCTCTCATGGTTTAGGCCTCTGGGCATTTGGCCATCTGCTGTAGTACTCATTTTGAAAGTCCTTTATATTGTGAAATACACATTTTGCTAACTTGCAAAAAAAATGCAATCTGTATATGGTATCT